CACCATTCTTTGAAAGGAACCAAGATAATCCACTGTTTCCATGAAGTAACTCAACAACATCAGGATGATCATCATTACAGAAGAAAAAGGACTGTTCTCCGAATTCGGCATCAACATACAGTTCGTGATCTTCACGCAAGTTCTCCGGATTCTCATCGTCTAATGCCGGAATGGAAACATCATGCCACTCATCGTGATCACGTCTAACCTTTGACTGATTCACACGTATCACTGCCTTACCAGTGTTGGCTTGGACCATAGCTCCTTCTTGTCCAAGTACTGTGGCACGAACCCAACGTCCTTTATCCTTGAACTTTGATGAATCCTGAGTCCAAACAAAAACCTTCTCTCCTTGGAAATAAGGACCGTCACTTGGCATAGTCCTTCTCGCAAGATCTGCTCGAAGGTCCTGAGCTTGTCGTGCTTCTTGATGAGCTCTCAAAGCCACACGTTGTAGTTCCAAATTTGTACGATCTTGTGCGGCGGCATTAGCTGACAATTGCTCAGGGCTTGCGGTCTCAAGGTCAAAAAGATCTGGTGGACGTCTTCCAGTTGCTATCTCTATTGGTGAATATCCACTGATAGTCAACTGACAATTTCTTGCCCAAACTACCTTCTTGACCACTTCTCTGACCGTAACACCACGAAAACGTGGGTCATCCAGATCTACCTTCATAACATGCCACATACGTTTAAACAAACGTACAGCTGTCTCTGCTCGGTTCGGCCAAGGAGTTCTTGGCCCACAAGGACATTGTTGTATACCATGGAACCTGTAGTATTCAACAAAAGCATCGGTGAAAAAGGCTTCGTCTCCTACGATGGCCTTCGGAACACAGTTGTTCTCATCAGACCACTGCCTCAATGCTTGGATGGTGGTTTGATCTATGAGGTCTTTCTGTGCCGTAGCCCAGAGAAGATTTGTGGCACCATCAAGAACAAGTAGAATGATATACTTGTTCTTGTGAAGTTCAACCTCACAGTGATCAGCAAAAACAACATCACCAAAACATGAAGCTCTAATACCGGAGACTCTGGCTCGTGGCGGAGGTGCCACTGAAGTGTTACAAACACGGCAGTTCCTGACAACTGATTCATACTTCTCTAAAACAGAGTCAGGAAGCTTCAACATAGAAACACGTCTACGAAACTGAGTAGGACTCATATGGTACTGCTTCACATGAAGCTTATAAAGCTCTACCTTGTCCTCCAGTCTCTGTAACATCTTCCTATATGCCGGTGTCATTGCAACAACTTCACTACCAGGTAATGGGATTGAAATCCGCCTAGGCTCAAGAGCGCCATCACCTGGTTCAAGTGGTTCATGTTTATCACTTGATGGTCCTTTTGATGCTTTAGGAATTTCTACAAGTTCACCTTCTGGCCTCTCAGGTGGTTCTGAGGGAGCATACTCCTCAAGATCATCACCTTTTAAATCATTCTGAGGCTCAGATGGTTTTGACTTGTGTCCTTTCCAAAATGGATCAAAACCCTTGGAAGTATACCGAAACTTTGGCGGCACGGGCTTTTCCGCGGCACTGGATGGTGCACCTTCCTTCTCTGATGAGAAGCCTGGTTCCCTGTCCTTTGCAATGGGAACCTTCTCTGAGGAGGAGCGCACCACTGCATCGGGATCACCAATGCCACGGTGCTCAATGCCAGCCTTCCTGATCTTTAGATCTGGAATTTTGGCATCTGGCTTAAATTTAAAAATTGTTCTACCACGCCATTCATAGCCAAGTTGTAGGTCCTTCCATTTTGCCTTGCGCCAATCATCTGTCTTCTTGATTTCTTCTCCTCCTGCTTTCTTCTTGATGATTGTCAGTCGCAAGTCTTCCAGCAAGTCAGTGTCTACAGGACAGGACTTAGTTGCTGGGAAAAGAATTTTCCTGTAATCCTTGTGGTGACGTATCAGTTCTCTCTTGTGAACATCTACTTCCCAGAAATCAACCACAGGATATGCATGCTCAGCTTCACCTTCATCACTATTGTGTTCAACAGAAATATGGCCATATTCATAGTGAGTGAGGTGAGAGTAAAAACTCTTCTCACGCTGAGTCTGTCAACGCACGTCAGACAGATACCATGCAATATCTTGGAAGTCCAACACAAGATGAGTACTGGCTGCAACCTTCAACTCCAAAAATTTGATACCAAGAGGCACCGATGTCAGATAAGCATGTTGAGGTGTCAGCCTGAGTTCAAAGCCTAAGTTCCTCATCTGTGGCAAGCTCATAAGCAAAGGGACTTCTCCTTCTTCCACTATGTCGAACTCTGTATGGTGGATCGTCCATGCACGATCATACATATAAATCACCAGTTTCTGAGAGCAAGTAGCCTTCTGGGAATTGGCAAAGTAAAACTTGCTCTTGGTAGACTCAAAAGAGTACCATAATCCACAATCTGGGTGATTGTCGACATAGTTGCAAAAATGGTCGACTGCTCGCCTTGATCCCATAGCTCTAGTGCATCCAATGTCCAGGATTGCAATAGTTGGCGGGAAGCGATTCTCAGTCAAAAATGAAATAGCCTGCATCTCCTTCACTTCTTCCTCAGCGCTCATAAGCGCAAAGCCATCAGCGCTCATAAGCGCAAAGCCATCAGGAGCCTTTGTGAGCATCTCCTTTGACAAAGAGTACCTCACAGGGGCACTCATGTCATCGAAGATCGTCTCACCATTGTTGACCACGCAGTCAGCTTCATCTTGGCATGAGGTCATCATGCCTGACAGCAAGTCCACCTCACTGTCATGGACTTCAGCTGCTGCTGTCACACAATGTGCAAAGAAACCTTGTTGACCTCCTGATGCTTGTGAAGTTCTTGAAGGTGCAGGTAAAGAACGTGGCTGTTGTTGATTCGCATAGTTTGCATCTTGTTTGCCATCTCCTTTATCTTTTCCTTTTCCTTTCTTGCCTTTTCTCTTGCCTTTTCCTTTTCCTTTTTGGGAAAACCATGCTTCTTCAAGCTGTTGCCAAAAGTCATTGGCATCATCATATTCTCCTTGAAGATAGTCATTCATATCCTCGGCAAGAATGGCATCATATGCTCCTTGGGTTGACTCCCAAGTGTCCTCATAAGGATTCTCTTCAAGGTATTCATCTGGAAAAGTTGTCTGTTGCTCATCAGCAAAATGGCCTTTACCTCGTCTCTTTCCTTTTCCTTTTCCACGAGGTCTGAAGAATCTACGGCCTGATCTTCCTTTTCCTTTTCCTTTTCTTCTACCTTTTCCCTTGCCTTTTCTGGCTCTTCTTCCTTGGAATCTCCTTTGGAGCCACGAGAAGTTTTGATCATCATATACCCAAAAGACATCGTCCAGGGCATCTAAAAATCCTTCTGTTCCATCTTCTTCATCTTCGGCCCAATAGCCAAATGTACCATCGAGTTCTCCTTCGTCTAGTACGAGAAATGATCTTCTACCTCCAGCACCTGTCGGCTGCATCAATGGATTGTCTACTGAAGTCTTTGTCGTGCAGAACATCTCGATGAAAACTGTCCTCAGCTCTGTTGTAGTGTATTGCTGCAGGTACCTGCCACGATGAGTCATCAACGAAGTCAAAGTGTTTCGCTGGTCCTGAGACAAATCTGCAAGGGACAGCATGAGTAGGGCAATGAGATTCTCTCCTAAAGGAAAATCATTCTGATGAAGAATTCTCATATTGCCATTGACATTCTGCATGATTTCCTGAATCCTTTCTGCCGTTGGTGCTACTCCAGTCAACGCTGCATCTGCCTGCATCTGAGCAAGGACTTGGGGATGTGCTTGAGTGACTGGTTCTAACATGTCCATCCAACTGCTCATAAGCCTTTGGAGTAAAATCTGGAATCTTGTCATCCATTTCATCATGTCGGCTGATCCTCGATTGAATCGCACGAATTGCATAAACCTGTATAGGAATACATTGGTTGATCCTTTCACGAAATATGGTCGTAGTACTCGTTTGAAGTAATCTACTCCTGCTCCTGGTGGCTCATTAGCCTTCAATGAATCTCTGTCTAATACACGTTTGTATACTGCTGCTTCTCCTTCTAATCTGTTTCTCAAAGCTGGTCCTCTCTTCTCATCTTCCAGCTCGGTGATATCACACCAATCGTCTATGGCATCCTCATAGGAAAACCATGAAGTCTTTCCATCATAAGATGGGGGCACCTTTGTAGTGACCTGTGTTGTCATTGCTATTGCTGCTGGTTCTCTTCTCACATGCCTATTCACGTAGGCTGCTGGCTCATAAGCCACATCCGCATCAGGCTCTTCCCAGTCGTCAATCCAATCCATGGCCGTTTGCCCACAAGCAATTCTATGCCTAGGAAAGGAGCTCACCTGGGTCTTCCAGGATCACTGCTCCGCTACCACTGAAAGAGTGACTAGGGCGTACACGGTAGAGGTGCAGACCGCTAGTGTCTTTTATGCGCAGAGTCTTATCCTCTTGCTCTTTAGGTCCATTGACCCTCTCTTGAGCCTTATGGCAGTCAAGCATGGACACACTAGATAGGCCACTGGAGTGGAACCTGTACAAGTAGGCCTCTACATTTCAGGGGGGGGGGGGTTAGCTTGATATATCAATCTTTAAGGCACGCAGCCCCTCCCACCACAACATTGCTAAAGCAAAGAAGAACTCAGCTAGCATGCTAGCTTTCGTGATCAACTCTTACAGGACCAAACTCAATGCACAATCCCAACTCCTGATTGTAATACATTTTTGCTAAAGCAAGGAGAACTCAGGTAGCTCAAGCTACCTTTCGTGATTAGAATTCCGGGTTGAACAAATCAAACAACAGCATTTGCAAATATTTGCAGCCTGTCTTGGTTCAAACAACTTAAAGATCCGAGTCTGCTGAAAGACGTAACTGGGTCAATTCTCCAACAGCTGCAACCTTCTCCCAAACCCCGTGGTAGCACGAGAGAGGGCCTTTGTTATCCCGACCCGCCTTTCAACGAAGAAGCATGCGGCGTCGACCCGCGTGTGAAACACACCAACAATGTCAATGGATCTCCGAGCCACATAGACTCGACCTCCTCTGCTGTGACAAAAGCCTCACTTTGAGTTGCAGTGGAGGCTAAAACCATCTCCTCACTTTCTTTGCTCGAAGCGCCCTGAAACTGATTGAGGGGAAAAAAACGACAACATAATTGAATGCTCTTCAAGAAGCCCAGCATGCTCCACAGGACCCTTGGTTTTTCACTGGGCTCACCGCTCGAGTCAGGCGCCAGTTGATCGCAGCCGGCTGTGGCTTCAACACGGCAGTGTCAGAGGCATGAGAGGCCTGAGAACGAGGATTGTGATATGCCTGAATGCCTGAGGATGCCTGAGGATGCCGGGTGCTGTGTCTAATTCTAATTCTTGTTTCTACTAGCTTCTTGTTCCTACTAGTAAGGCACTTGTTACTAGAAGCGATGCACTTGTTACTAGTAGCTTCTATGTGTATATCTGGTTATTTTGCCACTTGAAGATTAGTGATCACATGCGGTGGGCCCTTTGTCACTGACCCCCTTCTTGAACGAACAGGGCATGCGGAAAGATCAGCTGTTGCTGGGGGAGTGTATCAAACGAGCATCATATCTTCAACAGGTTGCTCGGATTGTTGATAGGCAGCAGGCCGACAAACATGGAGAAATCAAAGCATGACAGTAGTAGCAATTTCCCAGAACTAGTTACTAGTAGCTTCTTGTTACTAGTAGCTTCTTGCTCCTAGTAGTATGGCCAGGAGCCCCTAGTAGCGTCCTTGCTCCTAGTAGCGATGCCCTTGTTACTAGTAGCGATGCACTTGTCCAAGTCCGAGATGCATTGGTTCCCATCTCCTGGGAGCCCAACATGTCCATCTGAAATGGAATGTCTGATTTCAGCCCTTTTCGAGGCAACTCATACTCCTTGGATTTGCAAAACGGGGCAAGGACATCTTGTTGTATTCTATGTTCATGTAATTTCACGTAAACATGTAATCAGAAATCTCATGTTTACCTCCCTCTTAAAAAAGTGGAATGAATAGCAGGGCAAGCATTGCAGCAAGCATCATACCAGTCAGAGAAGCTGTTAATCCCGAAGGGGCTGTCAGGAGCATTGCCGCTCAACGACTTCGCTCTCCAAAAGGCGTCCTGGCGACGGACATGTTTTGCGGAAGTATACAAGCGGTGCCAAACAACCTCACAAAGCCGGGGTTTGGCGGCGACTTCCGTTTGTGAGTTCCTTTGCTTTCTTCAGGCGGCTTCCGCTTCAATCGTTTCCCTTCACAATGGCCATATATAGTATATATAGTGTATATATATATATACCTGAGAAGGGGGAGGACGAAAGCCAGTTGTTTTTACAACGGGGGCTGCAGGGCTGAGGTCGGGGATCGTCGCGGCAGCTGCATCCAGAGAAGGTTCGGGAGAAGGTACCGGGGCACCATGAGGAGGTTCTGGAGAAAGTTCGGGAACAGGTTCCAAAGCAGACCAGGCTCCAAAGGAGGGTGTGGACAGCGAAAAGATTTTCCGAGTGGCGCTTCGTGCCGTTGGGGGCTTTCCTTGGGCTTATGCCACTGATCCGCCCAAAATATAACCATACGTCGCAGCTACACCTCTCTTCCCAGAGACATAGAGACACAGAACCATAGAGACATAGAGGCACAGTAAAACACAGAGAAGTTGCTATCTACAGGGGGTCCTTTTCTGATAGCAACTTGTCGCTGCCAACCAACTACCATACTTGCCCCAATACATCCAACCAGACTTCTCGGACAGGATGTATAGGAGGATGGCAGGAACTATATGTCTCAGCATTGGTGTCACCAACCGTGATCCAAAAATATGGCATAGATCCGTGACTATAACCAATCCTTAAACAGCAAGCTCTTCACCCCACCAAGTTGCTATCTACACGGGCCCCTTTTCTGATAGACTTGTCGCTGCCAACCAACTACCATACTTGCCCCAATACATCCAACCAGTTCCATTGGGAAGCAATCATCAAGTACTTTTGCAACCAAAATCCGTCATAAAATTTATATACGACAAAATATATACTAGACTAGGGTATGTTTTACCTGCTTTGCCGGTCCAGTCAATACCATCTATATAGCTTCTTTGATTGAAGTCCAACAACGAATGTAAATTGCCCGGTCGTGCATGCTTGGCCAAGACTCATGTCGATATCCTTGCTTTTGAGAGCTTGACTCAAGCGATGGGGCGCAGGATGTCCAAGGTTTTGGTGTGCATGCTGTAGGTTCGTGCCCAACTCTGACATGTCTCACCGCTCCCACCGTCCGAGGCAAGAAAAGTGAACACCGGAGCCCTAGATGATGCTCATGATGCACTACTCGGCGTCCATTGACCCCATTTTCACTGCTTTTCTGACCCTCGCTTTGGAGCGCTCTCTGCAGGCAAGCTCCGGGTTCACCCTTTCAAATTGTGCCTTTTCGCGGCCTACCCCCCCCCACACCCCCTTAACTCACTTCGTTCGGTCTAAGAGCTCAAGCCTAGCCTATCGGCTGGCTTTCGTAATAGTATATACCAGCCTCTTCAAAGTGACCTTTTGAAATTTTATGTTTTTTATGGGGTCACTTAAGTTATTCCCACCAAAAGGTCACTTAGAAGAAGCTGAACTAGGTCACTTAGACCTTCTAGAGGTCACTTAGCATCTCTCTATAATCACCTTTGAACACATGGGTGACTTGTGGTACATGTACTGTTGATTTTGCTCATGATAAGGGAGTTCTCGTCCCCACGCAATCTCAGCCCCTCTTCCATTTTCCATCCACGGAGCACCTCTTCGGCGACCTCTTTGCCAACTTTGAGGCAGAGGCTGGGTGGCACAAGGGCAAGGGGCTCAAGGGACAGGGATTATCCCAGGTGGTATATAACATACATATCAAAGGCGCCTGAGCCACCTCACGCACACGAATGCCGTATACCGGCGTAAGACTTGCCTTCCCAAGTGGTTTGGGTTGGCCATTGCTGCTAGCTGTTTGATGCGACCTACCTTAGTTGACAAAGGGAACACCAGATTCATGCAAGGCTCGTGGTGACGTCACACGCATAACACCTCAACCGCTAGCTATGTAGCCAAATCCTCGTCCCCGTATGCGCTGGTCCACATCGGAGACACCAACGGGGCTTCGTCAAGACATATGTGGTCTAACCTAAGGTAGCATGAGCAAGTACAGTTACGCTTACTTATGTAAGGGAAACAACGCATATAAGTAAGCAAGCAGCTTGTGCAAATTTTGGGCGTAATTTCCATCTGCACTGCTGGTTCTTGATCGCCTCCGCTGCCAGCCCTTGGTTTCAAGTTGCTACATTAACTAGTACTAGAGTGGGCCTCAACGTAAAAAATAAACATCCAAAGCCAACCAGGGTACAATTGAGAGATACGTGGAATAGGTAGTTTGCCGTCTCAATCCGCTGGAGGTTTTCCTCCGGGAGTATCATACCATGACTCATGGCCATAGCGTCACGCAGAACAACTGCGCTGATAAACAGGGCAGCTCGCATCCTTAGCTACAACAGGCTGATCACCTATCGGCTTTCGCTAGTTAGGCACGCTATGGTTAGACTCTATGCCGATGTTTGCTATTCATACAAGGCTCTGTGAATGGAGGTCCTTTCGGTTTGCTTCAGCATGAGCCACAGTGATACCCATCAAATATCATGCCAAGATCACACTTTCCTGCAGCACAATGTGACACTTTTAGGGGACCACCCATGCAAGAAACAAACTGAGGCACTGTCTGCCCCGTTGAAGTGGCGTTGGGCTAGTGTTGGGAAGACCTTGTGCTTGACTTGGCCAACCATTTGTTTCCTCAACACATGTTCCGCCAGTTGTGGCAAAACACAGTGCATGCATGCGCAACTGTCATATATATTCTAAGGTACACTGAGAACACCTGCCCACGATTACCTAAGCAAATTGCAAAGGTCTCATGGCACAATATGTATCTCTCTGAGCACACAGGCGCGCAGTAAGATGTTTAAAACAAGCCACGTACTTTGTGCTGGCGACACAACCGCGCAAATTCAACGTGCGCTGCGCGAAGACGTGCATCCTGGTTGGCTCCAGGCCACACATCAGAGGTCTCAGACAATTCCATAAGAGCCTTGGCTTGCACACAACGCTACGCTATAGAAACAAATGGGATTGAAAGGCCAGCCAACACATACATACGTGCACAGCCAGGAACACTGGCTGCTGCGTCCGGAACCAAGCTCAAATCAAAGACGTGCAAGATGTCAAAGTGGATAATGGTATGGTGGAACCCCTCCATAGCAACCCAACTGTTAGGATTGCAAAGCGCCAAGAACTGTTGAAGGCTCAAAGTCGTGTTCCTATGTGGAGCACTCCGCCCATGGAGTGTGTACAACAGATTGGACCCAGAGACACGGGAGGCCTCGCAATGGGGGCAAATCCTCTCGCTCAACCAATTGGTCTTGAGGTGATATGCCTTGGCAAAGTACTTCTCGTCCCCCCTGTGAACAGCGATGACTGCCTTGTACCCATCTGCAATCAATAGATTACCCGTCCCTTGTCTCCTTGGAAGTGGCCGACCCCAAGGATCTGTCTCGCTCCAGCTTCCACTCATCAACTCTTGGAAGCTCCACGCCATCCATGCATCCAACCCGTCATAGGTAGCATCACACGAGCGTGCTCCGTCCATGCAATACAAAAGAAATCTATTGTCCCATGGGCTCACCCCTCCCACTACAAGCGAGGCATATGAAGTTATTGTGAAACTTCTTCTTCGATGGCATTCAGCGTCGTCACCGTGCAGAATGAGGGGTATCACCCGCTTTAAATCTGTCGCCTAGGCTAGGCATGAAAGCACGCATGCATCCATATGTGTATGACCAGGCTGTCAGGTTTTGAATTATGTGCATCTGGAGCACTGGGTCAGATAGTAGCGGATGATTCTGGAAAAACTCAGTGTGTCTGATATGGTTCCAATATCGTTCGATAGCCTAAGTCAGGAACCCATGTGTGGACTTACTACCAGGTGCATGGATTGTTCTCCCAAGAGTCCCACCCCTTCTTCTCCAAGGAATCGCTGTTGAAACAATTTTGCATCGTAGCGATAAATGCTTGCAAACCTGGGAGCGCAAAAGAATCTATAGTGCGCGCATTGAGTTGTAACATATGTAACCACACACACACACACACCCACACCTCAGTCGTTGAAGTCTAGCAACACTTCCGATGGCAGTAGCACATGCCAGGTACCAAGATAAAACCGTTCCTCCAATGATACATCTTGAAGGACGATCTTCCACCAAAAACGAGCCACACGTGCTACATGGTGCCATTTTTAGTTTTACAGTGCAGCTTGAGTACTCGCGCACAGGTGGCAACATACGAATCCACTCTTGTTTGGCCAACCAATTCCAAAAATTTCTGGGTCCATTCCTGTCACCTTCTTTGTGCACATGAAGTAGGTCTCGAAGGTTGGGCCTAAGCGAAGCGCAACACTAACAAATATGAAAAAACCCTTGCGTTTCGTTTTCCGATTCAAGTTCAACAGTACCTGCGACCAATGTCAATTAAGAAAAGGAACGGAAGAAGCCGTCTCGGGAATCGTCTCTTGACAGCAGACAGCAATCTCACAATATCGGAGACACTCACCTAGCCGTGCGCGCTTGTTTCTGCAAACATTTACTGGTATCGATCATAAGTATATCGATGCATTCAAAAGACTCTTCGTGTGAGCTCCAGGACTTCTTCTACTAAATCCATGGTGCAAGGATGGCCACTCACTGACTCCTTGCACAAATCCCCGCGTTGCTCGACTCCCCTTGAGCAACCCCACTGAAGAACGTCGGCGCGCAAGTAAGAGTGACTCAAAGTACAACAGGCACATGGTCCAAACATTCGAGTTGTCTGAACAAATTGGAAAAACTTTTTAGACCTTCTAGAGCAGAAAAACCTATTTCACAAATCCCCAGCACGATCAAGATTGGATCGTGATCCCCGAACATCTTGAAACTTGAGCTGCCGCTCACCAGTGACTTTGCGCCACTGATGATCTATGGCAAACTATGTGCCAGCCCTGTGTGTTCCAGGGCAGATCTATGGTCCAAAAGCTGCTTTTGGACAAATACCAAGAGCTGCACAAGGCCCAAGAGGCGCA